TCAAGCTGCCTACCAATAACGATATGTAAATTATTGATCAAATATGCATCATTGTTTTTAGATCATACACTGTACTCATCCAATTTGAATTACAAAACTATCAGTCTCGCCCTGACTTAAATTATTCATTCAAGTATATCTTTTTAATCACATTTCGTCTCGAATAAATAGAAGAACTTTGTTTATAAATGCATACGTTCATTTCTAATGAAACAAGATTTTTTAAGATAAACTTTTTGTTTAAATTAATGAAAATATCAGATTGTCTTCTGTAAGAATAAAGGTAGAATAAAAGGCAGAGGGCTTTCGTACAACGATAAGAAATTAAAACACATTTTTGGAACGTCAATATCATCTAATAAGCTGAATATTATCTTTTTTCACTAATTTTTCCTATTTTAATTACTATATAAAAAAATATTAAGTTATCTGTGAACATTTTGAATAAACTATCTTCCCCTAATTTTTATGATAATAACCAAAAGTACGAGTAACAAACATATCGAAATGAAGTTTCCAAATCACTTTGAAAGGAAAATCAAATTTAACTTAATATAAACGTTTGCCTAATTTGTCGCATTCACTTCTCAAGATTTACAGGTCTAACGAACTGTAACAACGAGCTTTATGAGATTTTTTTTTTAACTGAAAAATTTTAATAATAAATTTCCTAGTACACAAATTTTTGATTAAAATTCTTTCCTATCACAGCCTACTTTACTATAACACAAAACATATGTTTATTTTATGTAATGTATGAAGTGTGTGTTTATATTTATAGGCAGATATAAGCTAAGATTTAATAAAACGAACTAGAAACAAAAAGGTTCAACTGCATCTATAAATTCATTTTAGTCCTTTTAAAATAATCACCATTAGAAGTAAAACACATAATTTATAACACCCAATCGATTTCGGTTCCCAGCTGTTACTACAGACTCTCCTCTTCAATCAATTTAAAATATTTTGTCTGCATTGATCGTTTGAGTTTTAAGTGTTCTATAATGTGAGTGCTGTAATCTCTTACAAGGACGACTTAAATGAATACACTGTAATTCACGCTACACAGCAAAAATCAACTTACAAATATTGCACAATGAATATACGGTTATATCGATATAGTTTATTAATAAATCATTATTTCGACAAAATTTCAGTATTTTAATTACAGTTAAAATTATAAATTATAAATTTATTATAGTTATGTATATAGATAGATATATATAGGAATATATATGATATGATATATGAAGATATTAGCAAAGTGGGTACCGCGTTTGCTTAAATTCTATCAAAAGCATCAAAGCTTCGAGATTCGGACCTCTATTTGGATGGGATATACGAGTATAATGAAAAAATAAGCACCTTCATGCAGTAAAGACGGTAGAAAGTTAATAAAGGTGTAATCAACGAAAGATGACTTAATAGTCAGCAGTTCTGGTACAGACTTTGACATCTGTACTTTAAAATTTCTACATTATTAATGAATTATTTAATAAATAGAAAAAATTTTTAATAACCGATATTACAAATATAGAATCAATCATTCATATTAATGAAACAAATGCTATAATTTGTGCTAAGTCAGAAATCCGAACATGAGCTTCAACACACACGCAACTAAATGAAGGGGCCCGAATAGAAGCTCATAACTTTATATCTGACAGTAATCACAAACTTAAAAGCTATACTCCAAATAAAAATTACTGGTGTTAATAAAGAAATGATCGATGGAATTTTGGACAGTTTTGAAGGTTTTATAAGATAATTAATATACATGAAAATTAATAAATATGTAAAAATGCATTTAAAGGGTTTCATTAAGTACAAAAAAAACTAATCTAAAATTGTTTAATGGATTAATTAATGTATTAACAGGACCTGTACAAAATGTGCTATAATTCAGCACTAAGATGCTTTCAAAGGAATTAATATTTCATATGTAATCATTGCGTTCTTAGAAAATTGGTTCGTTCTTAGCTGTTTCTTAGAATTAGAATGGATTTAAACTTTCTTAAATTTATGATAATAAGATGGTGAGTAATCACCAGTTGATACAGATTTTACTAAGTCAGTACTTCACATGCAACTTAAACTCATCGTTATACTATTCTTGAGACTCTATGAATAATGTTAAAAATAAATAAATTCATGAGATAGTTTTGCAAACAAAAAAAAAGTTTTCAAGTTGTTTTTCTTTGACTTAAATGGATGAGCAATTACCAGTAGTTGTAGTGTTTACTAAAAGTGCGTGTACCAGTGGTTTTGGTAATGACATCGTTGCCGAAAATTAGCAGTTCCATAAGCTATTCTTCAGAGAATCAGCTATGAGTATCAACTCAATCATTGAATCATATTATAAACAATTAGTATTAGTCTTTCTATAACAAATCTTCCAAAAACAATGTGATATCATCCTATAATATAAAAA